TATAAAATGATATAAAAAATGAGACTTAAATCTTACAATAGATTGAGATAATAGACAGCTGCATGAAGAGGTCCGTGTAATTTCATGTGCCATCTAGTGTCATAGTGCTTCTTCACATTATGAAAATTCTTTTGGATTTGTTCTTTTGCCTTGTCTATTGCCTCGTACATATACCCGATGGCAGGCTTTATATCCCCATCTACAAGCCTCAACACCTTCACCAATGGCAACACACACTTCAAGCAATACTTGATTGATCCCCAATAATTTTGGTGGCTAGTATAATATCCATCACTTTTACACCATCTCCCTTAGAGTATTGACTTCTCTGCCATTCTTCAGAAGCAAACATTGCTCTAAGCTCAATTTTATTCTCAAATAAACTCCTTAAAGTTAAATAAGAGGTGGCAAATCTGGTCACACAAGCTCTCACCAAATCCCTTTTCTTTGTATACTTCCTCATAAGATTTAACACCCAAGAATGTTTATAAATATAAACTGTGATTTTTCTTGTCTTTGCCATTATATCCTTGTGTAGAGGAAGCTCTCCAATATCCGTCAAAATAAGATCTAGACAATGTGCAGCGCAAGGAGACCAAAACAACTTTTCCTATTTCCCATTAGCAACTCTCCAGCTTTTACATAAGCCGATGCACTATGAGTCACAAATTGAACAACATTGTCTTCATCAATCTCTTCTACCATTGAATCTAAAAGCTGAAAAAAATATCCGCATTCTTACAAATACCTGAAGTATCAATACTTTTAAGAAACACACTTACTCTAGGACTATTCACTAAAAAATTAGTGATAAAGCGATGTTTCCCATCAGTCCGTCCATCAAACATAAGAGTACAACCGGTCTTTCTTCTCTGCTTAATAATTTTTCATCAACCCACCATTAATCAAATTTGTTTCTTTTTTCAAAAAAGAACATCTCACCTCATAATAAGATGGAGGTTTCAATCCCTTGCCAAACGATTCAACAAATTCTAACATTCTTACAAAATATGCATCCTTCACTAAATTAAAAGGAAGGATATTAGCATAAGCACATCTACAAATATCCAAGCATACATTTTTCCTACCATTTTTCTTCAACATGGTATTCAAAGTAATGGTGGTGGTTGGTTGTATTTTACCAGCAGTAGTACTACCCACACTGCCACTACTTTTCGAATCCACAATACTCATATCTTTGCTAGAAACTCTATCATCCAATAATTGCTTAAAAAATTCAGTTACTTCCTCAGGGCAATGCTTACATGACGCTACATCTTTATGATTACCCGCCAAATGATTTTTCATTCTTGAAATGCCTCCCCAATAGACATTTGTACAATGAATACATTTCAATTTCAATCTTGATCCTTCTACTTTGTCACAATGTTCCCATGTGAGATCATTAGCAAATTTTTTAGTCATTTTTATATAAAAATAGGATGCTGGTGATGCCACTGTTTCACAAAATTAAAATTAATCAAGATTCAAAAGCTTTTATACAAAAAAAAAATTATTTGGCTTTATAAATAAATTAACAAAATTTCTTACATTGCACAGGTTTAGCTGGAATAGCTGGAGAAGGAAAAAGAAGGCATCTGCAGCTACAGATCTGGGGCTGCTTCGATGGCTTGGCTGCTTCAATGGCTTCCCAAATTTTGCTGTCTTTGTCGATGAAGAATAGGGAGAAGAGAGAGAAGATGGAGAATAGAGAGAAGAGAGAGAGGGGCTAGACTAGGTTCGTCATCGTCAACAACAAAGAGAAGAGAGAGAGGGGTTAGACTTCATCGGAATAGAGAAATCTGTTGTGTTTCGTCGTCGTGAAGTCTGAAGAACGTGGTCGAAGGCTGCTTTGTGCTATGAGGTCTAAAGACACCCAAGTCCCAGAAGGAAGACAACGAACACCGAAGATGAGAGGAAAAAAGGGATTTTATTTTTTTTTTGTAAACTCTAGCCACTTAAATGACATCATTTCAGTGGCAGGGATAAAAAAATCAGTCTCTTATTTAGACAAAATGACGTTCCAAAAAAATTAAACAGGTTTTGCGCTTATCATTCGTATCGTACCGATACGTATCGTATCGTAAAAACGTATCGTGTATCGGATGATACAACGTAAAAACAATACAAAACTACGATCCGTATTGTTTTACCTCCGTATCATAACATATCGTGCGATACTAACAACTATGCTAATGGAGCCTTAATATCATTCTTATTCTCCTTTCTCTTTTGATTATGCAATCGAACTTTACATGTTATCAGAGCATGTTTTGCTCCTAAACACGTGTAGAAATACAAATAGGTTTCATAAAAAAAAATATGGGTTCACAAAGGGGTGACATCATCCGTATAGATGATGACATCATCATGGTGCTATCAACTAGAGAAGATTACATCCATTGTCTTGATCGGTTTTGTATGGGCTTTGACCTGGTATGGTTTGTTTTCAATTTCATGTCATTTAATAGGTTTTCCATTTTTTGAATATTTTTTGAAAAATATTTTCAAACTTCCTCAATCTGGTGTTTTCACTACTTTTTGTCGAATTTGTTGCTGCAACTCAAACCTAAAAGGTGTGGGTTGGTGTCTTGGATACACAGGTGAGTGATTCTAAGTTGTTGGGTTGCTCTGTGAAGAATCTGAGTAGATTTTTTGGTTCGGCTAAGCAAGTGTACATCGGTGCAAATTGTTTAGAGCAACTCCGGCTAGTTCTGGTATGCTGCCAGTGTTGTTACCAACTCTGGTTATCACTATGTTGCCGTTCACTAACTCTGGTGAGTGATTTTAAGTTGTTGAGTATTGGTCTTCGACCTCATATTGACACCACAGATTTTGCAAACCAAGGCTTGACAGTTACCAAATGCCAAAAACAGTCCAAGAGAAGAATAGTGTCTCAGAAGATAGAAAACCAACACAGCTGTTGAGCCAACACAGATCAAAGCCAATTATTACCTGAACTGGAATGAAAATAGGCAAAATTGGGTGGGTGAACGGGCCTGAAAGGCCACTGAAGCAGCCGGAAAGGGCTCTGCGTGCAACGAGGTGTGATGAACTGGTGGAAAAACCACTGAACCGGACAGAACCGACGGGAAAAACGATAGAACCGCCTGAACTGGATTGAACTGTATAGGATCTGGTTTCAATATGAACCAATCTTGGGCTGGATGAGTTGGACTCACCTGGGTGGATCTGGATCACTAAACCAGTGGCCTTGGGCTTTCCTAGGCCTGGGCTTGGGGTGTATGACGTTAGGGACTAGACTATGGTAGGCCCAAAGCTTTGATTGGGCTGTGTCAACAAAGATCTGATTGGGCTTAATCTTCAACCGGTTGGAGATTAGAACCCCAAGTCGATCCAGATGAGAAGTGGATCTCATCTTCATGTTGTCTACAAGGAAGAAACCCTAGCTCCCGACAGCACAGGGTAAAGATATACTCCAGCGACGACAACAACACACTAAAACGGCACCAACGACAATCACAACACCAATCAACAAAACCTCCTGCGATGAAACAGCCACAAAACAGAAAAAATTGACTAAGAGACATGCTATTATCAGCGTACGAGGCGACAACGAGCACCTCAATTCCAACCCATGCACAGACAAGAATGACAGCCATAACTCCTACCCATCACAAAGTCAACAACAATGTCCAAACACCACCCACGACCACTGGTTACACAAATAACTTCAGCGAACCAGGCCCATGGTCGTGGGTTGCACTAGTAACACAGTAAAAGAATGCAGAGAACCAAAAAAAAAAAAAAAATTCAGGGGAAGAGAACAAGAAGAGGGTTTTACTCAAATATTCAGCACCAAAAGCAAATTTGAGATCAAATTTGGATTCAACCTTGCTCTGATACCATGTTTAGTTTAGAAGATGAAGACAAAAAGAACAATGAGAGATCATAGAAGAGTGTACTTCATGGACGAACATATGCACACCTAAAAAAACCAAAAAGATAAGTGGGGCCAAATATAACAGTTGAGATAAAGTAATCCATGGATGGATAAATTGAAAATGTGAGAAACTTGATAGTTTGAGCACCTTTAGGGATGAGCAATTGTTGAACTAGCTTTGAAAAAGACATGTTCACTGCCTATGGTAATCCTACGGAAAGGAAAGATTCATTCTAATGCGAAGTAGGATTGTAATGAATGATACGCTAACTAGTGATTTAGTAGATACTATGTGTCAAAGCACATCAGTGAAACAAAAATCAAATAGTCCCCAGAAGTACTGATGAGGCTTTGGTTAGCTGATCTAAGCGAAGATCTACTCTAGTGTTCTGTCTAGAAAGCAAATCTTCTCATTAATAGAACAAAGGCTTGCCAATGCAATTAATTCCTTCGACCAAATCTCCAAGTAGGCTCCATAGAATATATATGAACAAAAACTATAATAAATCAATAACACCTTACTTACCGGGAAAAAAAAAATAATAGCACCTTCTACAAAGTAATATCCACCTGCTAAGAAGCATTTACACTTGTAACAAGGCGACATGTCCGGGTCAGACCCATCAGGCACCAACACTCCTTGACAACCTATCTCATACTCTTTTGTCTTGTCCATAACTAACTAAATTCAAATCCTAATTTCAAAGACATGTAAGACACTTTATTTGCAACACATTCGACACTTTCCAAATCGTGTCCGACAAATAATGATTTAGTCAAAATTCTTCTTGGACACTTGCCATACTATGTTCATTAAAGCTTGGTAAATTTGATGTATGGCAATCATATACCCTATGGAAATGTATAATTGTTATTATTAATCACATTAAACTTCACTTAAAAAAAATGAAAGACTCAAATCATTTACTAAGAATGACTTAAGAAGATGAGAGCAATTATTACACAAGGAAAAGATGATGATTTTGGAAACCCATACGTAAGTATCCATGCTGGTATAGATGAAATATAATATGAATAACGCCACATAAGAGACTTCGGAATATAGAACTCCATTCTAACAGACACTATTGCATACCCCTTGTCGACCAGCCAATGCAACATTCCTGCTGTGATACCCTTTGTAACAGAAAAAACAGGAAATAAGCTATCAGGCTGAACTGGTCGAGGATCATATCTTCCAAGCACCCCAGCAGCAGTATCAATGATCACTTCTCCATTTTTGTAGGCACATACCTTCGAAAAAAATGATTAATAATGACATTTTATCAGAAAGTGAAAGCATGGAAATTGGCACTAATCATGATTCTCTGCAAGACTGAAGAACAAATAAAAAAAAAAGTTGTAACTACAATTACTAAATTAGAATTTCAATGATTACAGGACCAATTAGTTCTATATGTTAAGGCTGTGGAATCATCTGATCAGCACAAAGGGCATGGTAACAGCAGATCTTTATTTCTAAGTATAAACAACTGACCAACCTCCACAGAAAGTATAATCCCCATGGTTACCAAGAGGGATAAGCCCTGATTCATTTACTAATGAGCCAACCGAAGTAGATTCTCATTTCAACGCATGCCAACCTCCACAAAGCATATTTTTATCCCCACGTTTGTCAAGAGTATCGATTCATTGAGGTATATAATATTATTAAGTCAGTCTTTAGGTGTGGTGTGATTCTCTTTAATGAGTACAAAATCAAAATATTGGAATTGAAGTGAGCATTTGTATAGGTAAAGCACCTAGTATGATGATGTGGATTAATTCTATATGCATCAACCAAGGAAAGGAAATGGTTGAGTTCTTTTGCCACAATGTTGTTGTTGGAGTTCTTATTTTATTATATATTGTTAGTAATGTAAACAATATAGTATGTGAGTGAGAGAAAAAGAGAGAGAGAGAGAAGTAATTGAATAGGAAATAGAACTCATAGATTTCCACCGACCAACGAGATATATATAGTTATGCAAGTGGGAATAAAATATTGACTCAATTACCCCTCACTCACTAATACTCTTCCTCGAGCTGGACTAAAAATATCAAATAGTCCTAACTTGGAACAAATATTACCAATTTTATCTCTACTGAGTGACTTGGTAAAGATATCTGCCAACTGATCTGTAGACCATACAAAAACGTAATATACTCTTTCAATTAAAGCTTTTCACAAAAAAGGTAACAATCAACCTGAATATATTTTCTTCGTTTGTGAAAAAATGAATTCGAAGCAATACGAACCGTAGCCTGATTATTACAAAATAATTGCATTGGAAAGGTTATTGAAATACCAATCTGTAAAATATTAGGGTATTTCGGTAAAGGGTATTATTGCAATCCTTGCCTTATTATAAGTTAATATAAATATGGGTGATGAGAGAAGAGGCTGATTAAATCTCATTCTTGTAAACCCTATTTCCTCTTCTCTCTTCTCTCTTCTCTTCTCCCTTCTCCCTTCTCTTGCCTCTTCTCACTCTAAACCCTAAGATCTAAGATTTTTAGATTTCAACTTGATATCATAGCACAGGAGGTTTTGAAGTCGCTAAAATATTCAGGAATCGCCTTGGGAGTCAGCTGGTGTCGCTAATGTCATTGCCAGAATGATGATGTCATCAGCTTAGACAACCAAACTTGATGTCATCCAACTCGGTTTTCTCTCCCCAGTATGATGATAATTTTTTGTAGCCACCTGAAGTGTTTTTTCGATTTTGGAATGTAAGTTGAAATTTAAGGGAAATATTTTTCGATCCACTGTTTGGCGAAATTTTTGGCCATTCCAACTGCTCTAATACAACCTAGAGTGCCAAGTAAGCATTCTAGAGGTCCTGGTTAAGTTTTGTGCACAGCCAGTTGGTTTTGGGCTATTTCTTGGCTTTGACAGTGTCCTGGGGACCTCTGACAGTCACTGTTTTTTGCCCAGCGTTGTTTTGTTTTGCTCTGGCAGTGGTTTTTTGGGTCCTGGCAACACTGGGTTGATCTCAGCATTGGTTTTCTGGAATTGGCAGTGATCCTCCATCCTTGGCAAGCCTCAACAGTGTGTTTTCCAGCCTCGCCAGTGTATTTTCTGGCTCTCTCCAGTCTTGGAAAGCCTCGGCAGTTGGTATTTTTTGAGTCCTTTCGGCTTCCACAAAGCTTTTGTGACGGTTTTTTCCTTTTTTTTCTCAGTAGACAGCTGCTACTGAAGTCTTTTGGAGTTGGGTTAGTTCTAAAATTGCTATTTAATTGTTGGATTGTGTTAGAAAAGTTTTTTGTTGCTAATTAGACATGTCTGGAGTCGGTGAAGAATCTACCATTACTGAGAAAGGTGGGTTGAGTCGTGTAAAGACTCTTGGCTATAACACGTCTCTAGATCAATCCAGTAAAATTAGATAGAGGCAACTATCTCGATCATGCCTATTATCAGTGCGGGCAAGAAACCCAAATCTGAACTCGATCTTAGCCAATAGATTTTTGAAAACTCTTTGATGATGACATGATTACTCAACTAGATGCAGCCTCATATTAGCCATAGTTTTTTGTTTCTTGAGACATCCTGTGAGATTTGGACAACAGTGGCTCAGATAATTTCAAAGGTTGGGAATGATGCGCAAATTTTTGAGCTTCAGAAGAAGATTCATGAAAGCAAATAGAACGATATGACTCTCCCAGAGTACCACGCAAGATTGAGTAATATGTGGCAAGAGTTGGAATATTACTAGGATTTTCAAGCAGACTGTGCTGAAGGTAGTTCTAAGTTTCCGAAGTTGTAAGAAAAAGAACGAGTATATGATTTTTTTACAGGACTTGATATAGAGTATGATCAGATTCGTATATAGGTTTTGGGTAGAGATCATTTTCCTTCCTTGAGACAAGCCTATTCTTATGTACAGTAGGAGTGTCATGCTTCATACTCCTGCTCACGATTGGTCTACTCTAGCAGTTGTTCCACAGAGAGCAACTAAATTATTTCAGTCTCGTGGTGGTGGTAAAAATGGGATCTTGGAAAAGGATCTGTTAAAATGTGATTATTGTGGAAAGATGAGGCACACTAAAGACCACTATTAGATGTTATATGGTCGTCCTTCTAGGGGGTGGGGTGGTAATAGGGTTGGTCTAGTACGCACTCATGCCCATATGACTAAGATTGTGGATCCTACCCCTAGTGGTCTATCTCCATCTACTGGTAATGATAGTGTAAGTTTCACTGCAGACGAGATGCAAACTCTCAAGCGTCTGATGTCCCAGCTTTATACCTCTTCTGTATCTACTACCACTCCCACAACTTTCAACTTTTCTCATACAGGTATACATGTTAGTGCCTTTACTATATCCAGCTCCCCTAATCTTTGGATTATCGATTCCAAAACCACTGACCATATGACAAGTTCCTTGAATCTTATGTTGCGATAGAGATAAAATTAAGGTGGCAGATGGCTCATTGTCATCTATATTAGGGAAAGGTTTCATTCATTGTTCTCCCTCTATGACTTTGTCTTCAATGCTTCATATTCCTAATTTTTCAACGAACTTACTCTCGATCAGTAGTCTTACACAATCTCTAAACTGTTCTATAACATCATTTCCATCTCATTGTGTTTTTCAAGGACTGGGAATGGGAAGAATGATCGGCAATGGTAGAGCTCATGGTGGTCTATATCTACCGGAGGATCAACCTTGTTTGGCACTTCAGCTTTTAGTTTTGTGGCCCTCTAATAGTTACATCAATGACATCAAAGACTTAACCATCCATCAGTAGGAGTATTAGAGAAATTTTTTCCAATTTTGATGAAATAGTGTAATGGAGATAATTTTCTTTGTGATACTTATGAACTTTCCAAGCATACAAGAACTTTTTATCTTAGTAATAATAATAGAAGTATTGCGTCATTTATGATTGTTCATTCTGATGTCTAGAGTCCATGTTGTATTTTTCTCTTGTTGGATGTCGATGGTTTGTTACATTTATTGACTGCTACACTCGAGTTACTTGGGTTTATTTGTTGCATAGCAAGGATGAAGTGTTTACTTGTTTCAAGAATTTTCATAAACTAGTTAATACTCAATTTGATGCAAAAATTAAGATTCTCAAGAGTGATAATGGGACTAAGTACTTCAATGCAAAATACCGCACTTATCTTATGAAATATAAAATTCTTCACCAATTTAGTTGTGTGGATACACCTAATCATATTGGTGTAGCAGAGAGGAAAAATCGACATCTCCTTGAAGTGGCACATTCCTTGATTTTCACTATGAGTGTCCCTCTGTCCTTCCGGGGAGATGCAGTACTCACTACTGCATATCTCATCAATAGAATACCTTCAAGATTTCTTGATTTTGCTACTGCTATAGGGTGTTTCATGGGTCAGTGCCTCTTTACTCTATTCCTCCAAAGGTGTTTGATTGTGTGTGTTTTGTGCATGATTATCGAAAGACCAAGATAAAGTTGGATCCAAAGGAGTTGCGTTGTTTCTTTATTAGTTAATCTGCAAAGAAGGGTATAAGTGTTATAATCCTCAATCCCGAAAAGCATAAGTATGGATGTCACCAAGGATCAAAATTTCATTTCGGTACATTGTTTCGATCACCTAGAAAACAAAAATATGTCAACGTATTTCGAAAATATTTCGACTTATTTCAAAAATAGAATGAAAAAAATAAAAAATTTAAAAATTATTTTTTTTAAATATTGGTCAAAATATTTTGAAATACCTTGAAACTTTTTGAAATAATTGTGCAAATATATTAAAATATAACAAAATATTTCGAAACGTCATAAAACACCTTGAAATATTAGAATTTCGATTTCATCACTGATTCGTTTCGGTCTCCTTGGATGTCACATTCTAGGAGACAAAGTCATATTTCTCCACTCCTTTACCACCTCTTGGGGAGCAGTGTATTAAAGAAGAGATGCTACAGGATGGATTCCTACTCGTAACCCCCTATTAGGGCTTGAGTTTGGAAGAAAAACTTGTTCAAGGGGAGCCTCAAGGAGAAACACTTGTTCAGGAGGAGCCTCAAGGAGAAACCCTTGTTCAAGGGTAGCAAACTACATGTGGATGGTTAGATAGGGAGGATTTGTGATGCTACACTCGACGATAAGGTAAGTAGATCACCACCCATGAGCCACCAAGTCAATCATCATTTACAGACCCAATTCCTAAGGCCTCTTCTCCATTATAAGGTAATGAGCTTCCTGGTGGTAATATTGTTGATGATGTGACTCTTTGTCTTCCTCGTACCGTGCTTTTGTTTCATCTTTTGTTTTCTATATCTCTTCATCAGAGTTGGTTGGAAACCCTTGCAAAACCCAAGTGAAAAGTAACTATTGTAGAAGAAATGAAAGTTTTGGGAAAGAATGAAACCTAAAGCTTATGTCTCTTCCAATCCCGAAAAAATTAGTAGGTTGTAAGTGGGTGTTCACTATCAAGCAGAATATAGATGGTACAGTGAATAAATACAAAGCAAGGTTAGTAGTTAAGGGGATTACTTAGACATGTGACATTGACTATCAGGAGACATTTGCTCCATTAACAAAGATGAATTTCATTCGTAT